TCTGATTCACTTGTATTAAGGGAGTCAGACTCAATGGGAAAATCTCCCATTATGGCTAAATTAACAGCATTATGTAAATGCAAATTATAGTTAAACAATAATACCTGTACCAGGCTGGTTCTGTTGGAGGTTTCTTCCTGTTAAAAGGGAGTTTTTCCTCTCCACTGTCGCTACAAGCATGCTTGGTGTGAGCGATTGCCTTTGAGTTAACGAGCCGATGCATTAGCTGGTTTTCCTTATATAAAAAACTTTTAACCTGGATGTTCTGGTTGAATTGTCTCTGTAAAGTGCATTGAGATGACGTGTTCAGAATTGATGCTATAGAAATAAAGAATTGAACTTAAATGTGGGAAAGTATCTTTCTGATGTGGACGGTTTTGGTTAGAATAATAAAATTATTCATCATACTTTTTAATTATAACCTGTTACATGCATCTATAATCAAATTGATGTCATAAAAGTAATGAGGGTACATTATTGATTTTGATCTCTGTTTTTATCCTCTAACTAAGGATTTCTTTGCACAGCTGATTGAATCTTTCTAAAGATTGTCTTTGTTTGTTAGCAGAATAACAAATACATTTCTAAAGCAGATTTAGGTTGATTGCACGCAGGCTGCACGTGTTTGTTATTCATACTGAGGAAAACAAAGGTTCTTTCTGTCACCGTTTTTATTAAATGAAGTATTTCAGAAGGGAACACCTTTCTCTCTACCTGCCTGTGATGACTCATCGAGCCAAACCCTTGTACCAGACTGATCCTACTACCTCGAGGGATCCGCCTCAGCACTGACAGACGGCACAAGTGTCCGCTGCTGTTCACTTCACGTAAGTCAGGTTTTTCTATTATCCAACAATATTTCCTCAATTTTCTTAGATAAACCCATGAGATGAAGTGTTGTAGCTTGTTCTGTTTTAGTATTTCAGTTAATGCAAGGGAAGCTTTGTATTTTCTCTCATGGAAAAAATTCAGAATTTCCCAGGAAAACCTTTGCTTCCCGATACGACAGCAACGGTTTAATTTAATCCTGAAAAAATACAGGAAAACTATGTTTTCTTTTTGCTTAGCTGAAGCATATCATGACATTGTGTTTCCAGTGTTTTGCTGTAACTGCTAATTAAATTCTAAACGCAGGGGTGTCAAACTGGTTCCAGAATGGATCGTGTGGCTACAGGTTTTCTTTCCAACCAAGCAATAGCAAACCATGCTCCATTCATCTCATCAAGGGAATCCAATCTGAACATGATGACTTGATGAGATGAATGGAGTCTGGTTTGCTATTGCTTGGTTGGAAAGAAAACCTGCAGCCACACGATCCTTTCTGGTTTGACACCTGTTTTCTAAATCTTCTGAAGATCAGTTTAATTGGGTCTGGTTGAACTGGTTTGACTGAAACACCACAGGCCAACGCTTGTTTTTTTTTTT